ACTCTTAAGATAAAGTAATGCCTTTTAATTAATATAATTCCAATAGATTGTATTTACAAGTAGAATACGTCCAATCAGATTGGAACGCCGGGTATACTACTCTAACACTCAGCTGGTCGAATAAGTCCTCTATCCTGGGGAGTGGATACTTGTTCTTCACCGTCAACCGGTTCAAGTCCCGGTAGTCGATGCACATGCACAGTGTCCCGTCCTTCTTCTTCACAAAGAGGACAGGTGCTCCCCAAGGTGAAACGCTCGGCCGGATGAAGCCGAGACCCAACAACTCCTAAATCTGAGCCTTCAACTCCTGAAGCTCCTTCGGCACCATACGATACGGCGCTTTCGACACTGGCCCACCTCCAGGCAACAGGTCGATCGTGAACTCCACCTGACGACTAGGTGGTCCTCCCGATAGCTGATCCAGAAAGACGTCCACAAAATCTCTCACTATGGGTACATCTCCAGGCATGCGCTCCTCCGAAGGTTCCCCGAGTATAGTGACTAGATAGCCCTGACAATCATCCCTCCGTAGGCACTTAGTTGCCTTCGCCATGGAAATGATACGCGGTAAAGTCCTCGTCCTCGTCCCAAAGAATGTGATGTGGTCTCCATCGGCTAAGTGCAACGTCACCTCTCTATCACGGCATCGGATGTCTGCGTGATATCTCTCCAACCAATCTATGCCGAGAATAAGGTCAAAGTCCCTCATCTCGATCACGAATGCGTCTACCTCTAGAGTTCTGCCTCCAATACACATGCTAAGGTTCTTGGCCAGGGAACTCGTGACTATCTTCCTCCCCGAAGCTAGGCTGATCTCGAGGGGGTCGACGTCACTCACACTCTGAACCCCTATGGCCTCTAGGCACTTGGCCGAGATGAACGAATGTGTCGCCCCGGTATCGAACAAAGCAAAGATAGGTACATCGAGTAAAGAGAGCATGCCAGACATGGTACCTGGCTGCTCGGCGGCCTGCTCCTGGTCACGTGCGTAAATGCGGGCAGGTGCACCTCGAGGTGGGTGCTGAGCTGGCTGTCTCGGTGCTGGCTGTCTATGAGCTGGCGGTCTCTGGCCCTGCTGGGGCTGTGGGCGATCCGGGCAGTCTGCGATCCTATGACCGGGCCTGCGGCAACGATAGCAAATGTCCTGCCCAGCTAAGCACTCTCCCCGGTGGGCACGCTGACAAGTAGCGCAAATAGCTGGGGGCTGCGGGACCGGCGGTGCTGGCTGAGCTAGGGCTCCTGGTCGACGGTTCATCCTATCGTCGTGACCTCTCCACTTTCTCTTGTGTCGGTGCTGCGCCTGCTGAGGTGGCGCTGGCAGGGCTGGCTGGATGGCAGCTGGCTGTCTGGCTAGTGGGGCCACCTGAGCTAGTGGCTGTGCAGGAGTGTCTAGCAGCTCGGATGCCTCAATCTGCTGAGCTCGCTCAACGGTCTCAGCATAAGTCAAATAGCCATGGCTGGCTACGAGCACTCGAAGGTCTCTGGTCAGGCCGTTGCGGAAACGGGAGGCCTTCTTGTCGTTGGTGTCCACAAGATGGCGTGCAAAGGAGCTCTTACGAGCGAACTCCCGCTCGTACTCCTCAACCGAACGGTCTCCCTGAAGCAATTCATAGAACTCTCGCTCCATCCTCTCGCGAAAGTGGCGAGGGTAGTACTTGGCCTCCAAAATCCCCTTAAACTGATCCCAAGTCAGTTGGTCTCGCTCGTCAGCTGTCCTGAGATGCCAGTAATCGTCCCACCAGTCTCCGGCCGCACCCTCTATCTGAAACTCGGCACAAGAGACCATGTGCTGGTCGGATATGCCCATCATCCGGAAAATATGATCCATCTTGCAGATCCAGTCTCCTACGGCCAACGGGCCCTCCTCTCCAGTGAAGACCGGAGGGGCGTAAGTCCGGAACTGGGCTGCGACTACTGACTGATCCCGCTCTGCGGGTGGAGCTCTACGGGGCGGCATTCTGAATAGCCAAATAACAACTTGATTAGTATAGCCAATTAATAAATAGCTACACTACTTGACGTATTTAAGTAATTTACCGAAAACACCTAGCTTAGCTAGAGTTCCGGTTTCTGCTTAACTCTACTGATTCTAGCTCGAATTTTGATATAGTCTAGAGTTGGACTTAGATAAACTTTCTAGAATTTTGTCTAGAGTTCTCTTTCTAGTCGGAGGATAGATGGCCCCTAAGGTTCTTACTATATTCTCATGCACTTGCAATAATTTTTTAAAAAAAAAACTTAGGTGACTTACCTCGGAGTCGGCGCGGCGTGAGCGTGGCGTGGTCACGCTTTTCTAAACTTTTTAAGTATACAGAACCACAAAGTGGCTCTGATACCAACTGTAACACCCCGCCTAATTATTTCTAGAATTTATAAAATCAGAGTAAAATTTTTGCTTTTTATTTTCGAAAAACTCTTAAACTTTATTTTCGAAAATACTTATACTAAGTTGCGGGATGCTACAACTTAAACTCTTTCTCATGCAGACGTAAATAAATACATGCAACCTAATCAAATCCGTTATATAAAGGTACCACGGAGATAAAGGCATTATACATGCATAAGTCTGATAATCTCATAATACATACTAAGTCTGAAACGTGCGGAAGCTGAAACATAATAAGTCTACGCATAGTAATAATAGTACATGTTCAATGAATGACATGCAGATGCGTTACAAAAACACAGCTAATGACCACGACTGCCACTGAAATCTCACGCGCCACGTGTCGCTCCGTCATCTGAAAAACGTAGTGGGGGCGTGAGCAAAACCGCTATGCTCCGCAAAGACCAGTACTTAATTATATAGCATCGTCAATAACAATATCATGACTTTAAGTATATAATAACTGATCTGAACTGAAACTGTAACTAGGGCATCTGGTGGTCATAAAGACCCTGGGGCTTAAAAGCCAATCATGTGCACACTCCGGGGGATCATTAAGGCCAATTAAGGCCTCCCTCAGAATCACGGGGGAACATTAAGGCCCGCCACGGCCTCCCTCATGATGATCTAACTATTTCTCATACATACCTCGGACATGGTACGGAAATTAAAGATGCAGTATAACCAGTACGTGACCCCCACCTGATAACTGCTACTGCTAGGCAAGTGCTGACTGACTGGTAGCTGTCGGAGGCTCGACTCTCCTTAAGCTACATAAATATTTGAGCAAAATGTACTAAGTACTAAGCTCAAATAAAAACTTGATTCTTATTATTAATAAATCTTACTCGGTTCTCTCGCTTGATTAAAATATCATTTAATCTGGATTTAGATGCTTTGAGCTGTTCTGAAAAGATTCGCTGACTTTGAGGCATTCTAGAGTTCTCTGAAATATTCCTAAGTCTGGACTGCTTATCTGATTTATCTGATCTAACTTATCTGACTGATCTGATCTTATTTATCTGACTGGGTGCAACTCGACTTAATCGTGGTCTGGGTGCATACGCACGGACACGACATCAGTCGACGCACAACTTTCTATCCGGATCTAGAGTTCATCCGGACTGACCGAAAAAGGCCAAACTAGGGTTCTCTTCTCAACCGGCTATCTATCTCGGTTCAAGCCAAAAACTCAAACTTTAAGCTCAACTCGATTTCTAGTAATTTAAGCTAAATCTCAACCGGATAAATTCTAGGGTTTTTACCAAAGCAGCTAAAGTCTCGAATTTATAGGCATGCCAAACAAACTCTAAAAATTATAAAATTTAAACCACGATATATTCAGCATTTATAGGATTTTTCGTGAAAGTTTCATCGAATTCCGAGGTCTTTTCATATTTATCAAAAATCGGGCATTTCAGCTACATATTCAAAAATCCAGTTAACATATTAATCGAGCACCAAAAATTACGAAATTAAAACCTAAGCCTCAAGTCAGCTATACGAATTTTATCATATTTTTTTCGACATTTTTAACGCGTCTATCGAAAATATCAATTTATCCGCTTTAAGCTCGTACGTACCGATCCAACTCAAATCAACATCTCAACTAATTTTTATCTCGTTTTTATCATCAATTTATTTCATATCATTCAAGTCTTTAGATATTATACCTCACGAGATCGGAAAAGAACAGATTGGACTAGAAAATGGGAGAAAAACGGAGCAAGAAGCCGGTCGGGTCTGGTCGTCGGGACGCGAGAGGGGGCTGGAAGTCACCGGCGCTGGTGAGCTGGGAAGGGGCCGGAGGCGGAGCTGCGAGAACCGCGGCGGAGCAGTCGCCGGATCTGGGAGCTTGAAGGTGGAGTGCAGCTGGGGACGACGCTGCCGCGATGTGGGTCGCCGGCAAAAATGGAGCTTGCCGTTGCGAGCTCGTGGTGGCGGACAGAGGTCGGTTTTGAGCTGCGGCGCCGGAGATGGTGGTTGCGGAGCTTGGGACACGGTTGCCGGAAACTGGGCGCTGCGGGGCTGCGAGGAGGACGCGGCGGAGCTGCTGGGAGAAGCTCGCCGGCAACGGAGCTGGAGGAGCTGCGGGCTGGACGGCTTGCTGCGGGCTTTTGGTCAGAAAATGCGGGTGGCCGGAAAATGGGTCACGGTGGCCGGATCTTCAAGCCATGGTGGGTATTGGGAAGGAAGCTTATGTGGTTGGATCTTGGATCTTATCTTGAGGATGAAGAAGATGAAGTGGGGAGGATGATGAAGGTGGCTAGGGTTTAGGTGTTGTCTCCATGTTGGGAGACAAGGGGCAAAGTCTATTTGTAGGAGTAGGGAGCTTAGGGTTTTTGTAGGAATTGGGCTTGCTCTTGGGCTTATAAAAACGGGCTTAAATTGGGCTCGAGTTAGGACAATAAATACCGATAAATGGACCGAATAAATAAGGTCGGGCTCGGTAATATAATTTGCTACTAGGCTCGATTTATAAAACATACTACTTAGGCTCGGATAAAATTAAATATGCAATTAATATTAATAATTTTCCGCATAATTAAAATAATACTAATACCGATAAATAAGTCGAGCTATTAATATAATATTTGTCCGGGGTGTTATAATAAAGACCCCTAGATAACCCTCTGATGGGCGACCCGCTAGCCAAGCTAGAATACAAACAGACAAACAGACACAACACACTACCAACAACTAGAAACTCTCCTCACGGGAGAATAGGATCGGCCCCCACGGGGTAATTAACACTGAGACCAACGGCCCAAACCAAAAAAACCAAACATAAAACACACAGGCAAAGAGCCCAGACCAAAGACACTTAACTAGAATAGACTCAAACAACAAAACAAAAAATAAAACAACAACGCCCTTCCTCAGCAATCGATCAGACTCAACCAACAGTGAACAATCGACACAAGAAGGGTACCAAGCACGAAGAAAAACCACCGAAACTGCAAAATGCCTATACAGCAGCCAACTTCGAACTCGAGCCAATCCACGAGTCAACCCATCACCAACCGAGAGGAATTCAAACCACCCCACGCAAGCCCCGAACCAAACCCGTCTAACACCACTAGATGAGCAAAAAGGAACTGGGCCCCCACCGTCTAACACCACTAGCCGGAAGGGGAGTGAAGATAGCTCGGTCCCTCAATCCCGGCCACCGAAACATAACGCCTCAGCGTCCGGCATCCCGCCCCGACACCTAGCCCACACGTCACCCACCACCACAGCAAGCCATTGTCGACCAAGGCCCTCGACCAACAAAAGCCCCACCGGGAACAGAGCAGCTGAGCCGGAAAAGCTCCAAAAAGCCAGCAAGAAGAAGAGCAAGGACAACTCACCTCCAATTGAAGACTGTCGGCTACTGATGATAGGCCAACCAACCCCGACCAAGGGTGCTCCGCTACGCTCTGCGAACTCGCCGACAAAGGAGGAAAGGCCATCAATCGTGACACCCGCGTGGACATCGGAGACACGCAGGCTACTGCCAAGCCGAGCGGTCAGAGATGACCATTGGTTGGAATCTAACCGTCACTAAGGAAGGCTACGACCGGCGAATTTGAGAGAGGGCGAGCGAATTCAGGATTTTGGGGATTTTTGGGGATAGGGTTCCCGATAGTACATTAATTGTTTTGCTTCCGCTCATTATATGAGTTTATTTATGTTTTATGGTTAATGTGAAACTCCGGATTTATGATATTTTGGGAATTGATGAACTCTGAATATTTATGAACTTTGGACATTTATGAACTTCGGATATGTATGACATTTGAAACATTGTTGGGGGAATGCCCTTTTTTGACATTGCGATGTCATTATTTTATAAATTTGGAAACTCAGCTTTGGTGATTGATGACTTTTGATGAAACCCTCGATATGGTGTTGATATACGCTTGATTGCCATTGTTATGACTGTTATTTATGATTTTGACTTGGGAATAAATGAGTAACGCCACAAATGTTTTGAAATGAGTTTTTAAAAATTATGTTGATTGTTCTGATTAAGCCATGAATTTTCGTTAAATCAAAAGTGGGGCGTTACAGACAATCATTACTCCATAAATCGTGCCTCTTCGTACACCGTGCGCATTAATTGTGCCACTTCCCCGCTTTCGTGTGATTTATCTTTAATCAAACTGTTAGTTTTTTCAACCTTTCAACTAGCCCACTAATTTTGAGCCATTTATTCCTTATTTGTCCAATGGCTATGACCGTTCTACCCTCCATTCAGATCTACCCCTTACACATGTTGTTCGATCCAACGGTCCACAATTAACTGGCCTTTCCCCTTACCTTTTATCGATTTTCCACCTTCGCAAAATCTTGATACACTTATACCCTAAATTTTCAAGCTTTCTGCAATCGGAGCCGACGACTTTATGACCTGCAATCGGAGCACTTCAGTTCAGCTTTGTCGCCAGACAATGAGTAAGTTCTATTGCCTCTAAATATATGTTCTTTATTTGAAATTTTCGGCGAATGATCAGCGTAAGACGCCGGAGGGGATGGTATGGCAGGTGAGAATAAATGATGGCTGGAGATGAACAAAAAAGTACGAAACCTATATTGGACCCTAACACTAGTCTAATACCATGTAAGAATGTGGGAAAAATATTTGTTGTATTAATCACAAATGGTATGTACATGTATATAAAGACAAAAGATGGGCCACTTATATCGGGCCTTAATCTAATATGACCCTTCAACAAAATATAACTAGTATATAACTAAAAATTATTACCAATTATTTAATTTATTTCAGTTAGACAAATATTAGTAAATAATTCAATTATCATGTACTTATAATATTCCAAAAACATAAATAAATAACAAAATGTATTCAAAATAATACAAGTAAGTAATATAATTACTCATGCTTTTATGTAGTTGTAAACTCACATAATAATGACGTATTTAAAATACATAAGTCAAAAAAATTCATGTGCTAGTATGTTTTGAAAATTTCTAAAATTTTGACTTGTTGAACAACTATTTCTAAAATAGTTTTGGGAATGATTACAGGCTGGGCAGTGTGCATTGGCTCTGTTTATCATTTTCCTTTATTTTCCTTTGTTGAGTTCTCTAGGCTGTTGTAGTGCCCCCATTTGTTCCAGATTATTGTGGAATTATTATTTATTTTAAATGTTTATTTGTCTAATTGTTTTTATGTTATTATTTACTTATTATTGTAACACCCCTCTTTGATTTTAAAGAAATTCCGGACTTTCCAAAAATCAGTATAAAAATTTTCGAGATCATTTTCCAAATCTTAATGGGTGTTTAACAACATTTTCATAACCCAAGTCTTATTTGGGCTCACGGGGATTCATTACCCGGTTTTCACAAATGGTTTTCATTAACCGAGCATATCACAAGGCACCATTCTTAACTCAAATATGTAATCAACCATAATACCCAACATTAGGGTTCCATAAATTTTTCCAATAAAACACACAAATCATAAGTATTGGAAACAAGTTTCATCAAAAGGTTCAAGAAGCCTCATTTATTCAAACAGAAGCAATAACAAGCATAAATAATTGACCGACCCACTCGTCCCTTCTCGTCACCCAGCTTCTGCTTAACCTGCATCGGTGAAGAGAAGGTGGGGATGAGCACAAGATGAAAAACGTGCTCACCACTATGCACATATATCACAACATAATAATGAAGAGAAGGTATGGTTAGAGTATGAACATAAAACAATTATTTTGTCACATCTCCTAATCACATCACAACATAATACCCACGTGTACACATCTTTCATTAGCCAAGGAAATGGGATTCATTACCCTAACTCATGGGAGTACGTACCATACAACAAGGTACGGCCTTTCATTAGGTCTTACGGAGACTTACCTCGCAAGGTAACCGTATTCCATTGACGGGGACAACCGTACCGACGGCCGAATCGGCTCACGCCGATAGGCTACATGGTTTACGCACATACTAAGATCATACCAATTCAACATTATAATAAACACGTATGGCATAGCAAATTTTAGATTAAAACCCACTTGGTATAGCAACGGAGAAAAATGGCACAAACGGGTGTAGGCAGCGAGCACGGCTCGTCAGACACCTACAACAATTATATGCTAAGATCAACACCTACTTGACCTTAGAGAACAATCACAAGTATACATTGGTCGAACTTGATTCAACCAAGTAGTTCGTGAAGTGTTTGTCCCATTTTTGTGTCTTTATTTTCGCTTTATTTTCGCTTTATTTTTTCCCCACTTAGAGGATTTTCGTAGTTTATTTGGTCCAATTCTGTGATTTTTCCGTTTTTCTCTTTAGTTCATTTTGTGTGTCTTTTTGCTGTGTTTTGCTTCGTGTTTTCTTCGTGTTTGTGTTTTCAGGAGGTAGATTGTGTTGATCGAGGACGAGACTAATGAGTTGAGACCGGGATATCGAGAATACTCATTGATGTGCCCAGATTATTGAAAGAAGGACCGAAAAAAACTTATCGAAGAGCTGGCAGAACAACTCGCGACTCGCGAGTCAGTGTCGCGACTCGCGAGTCAGTCGCGACTCGCGAGATGGTCGCGACTCGCGAGTCCAACAGAGCCGAGAAGATGGTTTTCGAGATACGAGTCGCGACTCGCGAGTCAATGTCGCGACTCGTGAGTCAATGTCGCGACTCACGAGAGTGAACCTCTGAACGAGAAACGATTCAGGTCCTTAAACCGAGCATTTGATTGCCGGTAGTTGTTGTGTTAGAACCGAAAGCAATTATCCCCGATTCCCTAGCTCTTTAATCATCCGAGTTTATTCGTTTGCTATTTAAGTTGCTTTTCATTTACTTTCAAGTCATTAGCTATAATCAAACCCCAAAATTATTGAATAGAGTGTTTAGGAATTTTTCTTTTCTTTCTCGTGATCGAATAATCGTACAATTGAATCCGGCTAACCTTCCTTGCGATACGACCCGGGGAACGAATCTTTCGATTCTACTCCGGTAAAAATACTTACAACAAAAATTGGCGCCGTTGTCGGGGAAGGTTTAGGACTTTAATTGTGCGCCTATTCATTTGTTTTTCGTGTTTCTCTTTGTTTTTAGTTTTAATAGTTTTTGTTTATGTTTGATCGTTTTCC